ATTGGCAGTAGCAGTGCTGAGAGTCGAACAGGGAGTGACTACATGAATATGTCACCTATAAGTGCCCGCTCTGCCAATAGTACACCACCCCCTTCCGAACCGCACACACCATCTGACCAGTATCTTCAGCACCCTCCTCCCAAGATGGTATATTCTTATTATTCTCTACCACGCTCTTACAAACACAGTTCATCAACCCACTTTGAAGAAGGCCTAGGAAGAGGGAAAAGTTTGTTAAATGGTGGTAGAAGTATGGCCGGATGTAGGGGGCAAAGTGATAATAAGTTCAAACATCAGGAGCCTCTTGCTAGTCGACATCTGTCTCTTTCATCATCCTCCTATTCATCCAGTTCTGCAAGCAGCGAGAGCCTTGGTGAAGGTGAGGAAAAGACCATTAAAGTATCGGAAGGTGCAGAAGGTGGCAATGTAAAGGATTCTGAAACAGGACTGCAGAGACATGTCTCTGGAAGGATAAAGCATGGTAATTTAAGTCAAAGGAGTAGGCCCCTCAGCTTATTTGTGGATATCTCTAAAGCAAACACTTTACCCAGGGTTCGTGAGACACCACTACCTCCTGAGCCCAAAAGCCCAGGCGAGTATGTCAGTATTGAGTTCAAGGGAGAACGGAACCAAAAACGGAACCAATTTTTGCAAAATGCCCTCCCACCAGGTGTCCAGCACAGCTTTCCAAGGCCAAGTTCCTGTGCTGCTGGTTTCTTGCCCTGCTCAAAAAGCCTACCCACTACAGTTCCTCCATCAACTGCCTCTGAGTATGTCAATATGGAATTAGGAGTCTCTCTATCCCCTTCGCCCATTTCCCTCACACCAGTTGGATTTTCTTCTTTCCCCACCCCGCCAGTAACACCTGTAGCACCCCCAAATGCTCATGATGAACACAGATCAACAATTCTAAAAGATGACGATGATCCAGAGAGTGAAATTGGATGCAGAAAAGGCCAACAGGTGTCTGTTCCACACACAGGTGACTCACCAACCTCATGTGATGACTATACAATGATGGCCTTTAGCTTGACCTCAGGCTCAGAGATAAGTTCAACGTTACCAAAACCATCTTTGCCGGATCAGGCTGAGTCAGTAGTTCCCGCACTAGGTTTGGGACTTGCTCTAGACTTTCCACTTTCTACAAAAGTCCCAAACCCAGATCATGGTGCTAAAGTAATTAGAGCAGATGGACAAGGTCGAAGGAGACATTGTTCTGAAACGTTCCAACCTCCCTCCTCGCTTCTAACATCTTCCTCTGCGTTCCCTGATTATGCTCAAGTCATTGGACGTCAGCTTGGTTTGGAGGGTACTCTTTGGGGGAACAGTGGCTTGTCAGACATCTCATCTCAGTACATCAATCCTAGACTATCTAATATATCAGTTTCACATGCATCATCATTGGAGCAGGGCCTCAATTACATTGACCTAGACCTGGCAAGCAAAGAATGCTCTCATGCCGCAACAGATGGGCAAGCAACTCTCCATGGACCTGCTTCTCGTATCTTTTCTTCAGTGCTTGGCGGTGGATCATCAGGAGGCTATATAGGAGCTGGAGGTTCAAATGGGACTGCCTCTAACCTCAACATGTATGCTAGCATCGATTTCTACAAGTCGGAAGAGCTTCGGACACACCAAGGTGGCCACAGCAGCAGCAGCAGCAGAAAGGATGGTACAGGTAAGATCATTTTTAATCTCTGAACGACTCAATGCAAATATTGAGAAAATGGTGTTTTGTTAGGATTTCAAACTCTGTAGAACACACATCTGACTTGTTTGCTTGAAGGACCACAACTTTAAGGCTTTCAAACACCTATGTGTTTTTTTAATGCATGGCCTGGATGCAGTAATTCTTTAGCCTTGATTACACAGCGCTAATGTAGCTGTACATATTTTTCTAGTAACGCACAGAGGCGTTTTTTCGACAGCACAAGAGATCAACAGCAGAGGATTTCACGCACCATGATTTTAGACAGAATCACAGAGAATTTTGTCTTTGTTCTCAATCTGCGTCTCACAACCAACACCTTGCGAGAAAGATTTGAAAACAGCGGTCACATGTGCAACACTGTAAGACTGGAATATATCAGTAGTTAATTACAGGCTGTGGTGATGCTCTGGAAACTGAGTACGACCTGTTCCATAACAAAACTTTATGAGGCCATGGTTCACTTTTGTTCTTTATTCATATCCACCTGGTGCCTCTGGATCCAGCGGCCACCTGTCTGCCAGGCTTTACTACATTACTACTGATCAGAGAACAATGGCAAGTGTCCATTTACAAAATTCATTACCATTGGCTTTTCCATCAGTAATCTAAATATAACGGACAGTTTTAAAAGCATTACAGAAATTTCAAGATGGGTATTTGGGTATATGAAAGTGACATTTATGGAAGAATCACAACATGTTAAAGGCTAACATTTGTTATATATATATATATATATATATATATATATATCCAATATCATTCAATTCTGTGGCGTGTATGAAATGTTGCATTGAAGTAGAACTTATGTATATGTTTAGTTTTACCTCAGTTTATCTTAGTCTACAGAATCGAATCTTCTAAGCATTAGTTTTTATGGTAGGTGCTTGAAAAGGTGAGGGATAAAAGTCTGCCAATTTAATGATTACATTGGTTCACCTAATTTATATTCCAAAGTATTTTTGTTTTTCCCAAATGTCACAGAATTTGCACTTTCCTCATTTGATCAAGATATTCAGCGAACAGAGTTAGCTTTATTTTACGTGTATTTAAACCTTTTTTTTACTGGAACATTTAAAGTTCCAACCCTAAATGTTTTTTCTTTTTTACTAAAAGTAAAATGTTATAATATACAAAAAGTATAATTTTAAATATTGGATTACAATTTTTGCACCTATATCAAAACTCTAGGTTGGCATAAATTTTAATCTATTATTTTGAGACTTTTTGAATAATAGGGGCTTGTTTATACTACAGTGGGCGGGTGAGGTAGTGTTTTGCAGACAAGGGACAACGTGTCATCGACGCTCCGAGAGTAATGCAGCGAGCTGGCTGTGAATGTTGAGGAAGGGCCAACATTGAACTGGCCCAACGTGGTCTCAGCCACAAGCCCCCCTTTTCTGCATGTAATAAATGATCCTTTTGTTGGTGGTTTTCCTCCCTGCCTGCTATTGGTGTGTGCGTCTGTTCCCTTGTGTGTGTGTTTCAGCTCCAGTAGGCTTGTGAACTCATCGCTCCCTTGCTCCGCTTTAATAAAACGTTTTTGTGGAAGTAGAGTAAGTGCAGACAAAAATAGATTTTTGGGAGAGAACAGTTGAATAGGAAGTCCGTGCTTCTGCCTGATGTGAGAGCCAATAAGTGGAGTTGCTACAAGGGTGAAAAAGAGATGGCAAGATAGGAGTGAAAGTGGTAGACTGATGATGTGCCAATGGCAGATGGAGAAACTGATAGGGGACAAAAGGCTGGGAGAAAAATGTATTTTTGTGTTTGGTGGAAGCTGAGGAAATCGTCCTTGTTGAATATTTCAGGCTTCATTTGTTTGGGTTCTCAGTTCTCTTAGGAGAACAACGATGAAAGCGATTTTACTGGCTGCGCTCCAGGTTGGGTCTCACTGGCCACATCCAAACTCCCACCAGCCGTCATGGAATGAAAATAGAGAATGGGAGGAATTAGAGGATGTGATATTTGAAGAAAAGTGGTGGGAGAGAAAGCTTAGGGTGAAATGGATCGCGGCAAAATGCCTTAGAAATCAAATGTCGAAGTATGTTCTTGAACGTGCGTGAGAGGGAAAGAGAGGAGAGCCTCTTAATGCTGCGTAAACATCTTCAAACTCACATAAAAAGAGTTTTGAGCTCTGGCATGACTTCGTTCTTGCTGTGCGGTGGTGCCACGTGTATCTTAGTGTGCCGTAGAGAGCAGTCAATTTAAACTAGAGCTACTAAAGAGAACACTTCTTCTCTGCCAGTCTGTGAGTGGAATCATTCATCCATATTTAACCACGCAACAACTTTTACCTAAATGGAAGAGTTTGGGTGAAGGTGAGGCAATTTTCCGTTGTCAAAACCACAAAACAAACACAGTTTTATAATAAACCTTTACATGGACTCCATTGCCTAACTGGCTTCTCATGGGGTTTTTGCTTAATTGGATCACAGTTGAGATTTGCACCAGTCTGCACTCAGATGGATCCTTTCAGACGCATTTATTCAGAGAAGGTCAGCTGTGGTGCACCCAAATGTTCTGCTCTGGGAGTCTTGCTTTACAAGGATGAAGTTCACGGTTTTAGTAGCATATCCTGAATTATATCTGAAGGCTTTCTGAGCTACATTATTCATTTAAGTCAGACATCATGAACAAAAGATGCATCAAACTATTCCCTTATTGGATTATTCAGACAGTTAAATATAATTACTTGTACAATAAAAACAATATTAAATTTGTGCTTGCAAAGTATATTGCCTTCATACTTTAATTAATATTGAATATGAATTTGTCATGTTTGTCATAAGCTGCTCAATTCCTCCAGCATTATATTCTCTTTAGTTAGTGATACATATAAATATTTTTTTTTTATTTTCTACATAGTTTTTTATATGTTAATATATTAAAAATATTGTTGTTGTTTTTTTTGTTTGTTTTTTGCATTTACAAAGGATTTTATACAAAAAAATGATCAGGCTTTGAAAAGAGGCCAAAAGCCCCTAAAAAGCTTATTTTGATGGCAATTATGTGTCTTTCTTTTTTTTTGGAGTTGGAGTTCATCACGTTTTGGAATCAGCTACCCACCCAGATATATGCAAAATTAGGGTTGCAACTAATGATTATTGTACCAGTAATTATATTTAATTGTCTGAATGATTATGAGAATAAACACAATATTGGTTTGTGCTTGCAAAGTATTTTTGCCAAGTTTGTCAGTTCCACTACTCTTTCGAAATAATTTTATTTTATGTTAGAAATATATATTTAAAGAGTTTCAAAACGTGATAAACTCAGAATAAAAAAAAAACAGAGTTGCTCAGTTGATAAAGTATTGCACTAGCAATGCAAAGGTCGTGGGTTCAAATCCCACGAAAAGCTAGAACTGACAAAAAAAATGTTGAGGTTGCTTTGGAAAAAAACATCTGCCAAATGCATACATGTAAATGTAATGTAATGAGTTTTTTTTTTAATACTTATTTTAAAGACACCCGTGGTCAAGTTTAGTGGATGATGTTTGGAACTAGCCATTAACACAAATGCTTTCCTTATTACTCATTAATGTTTTTTTTGGGTGAATCATAGATTCATAGATTTTAAGCATTTTATACAAAACAAAAAAAACCTGTTTAATGTCTATTTAATGTATAATGTATAGTTCATTATTGTTATTAGAAACTCATTTTAATATACTAAAATTCTTAACAGAAATAAATAGTTTTCATGCAAGCCCTTTCATTGAAAATCATGCTCACACATGGGATACTTTTACTTTTTGAGTGTTTCACATTTGATAAGATGAGACAGTTTCTATCTGCAACACAAGTGTGTAATTGACGGAGAAATGGCTGATAGAACCGGAAGGGAAGAGCGATCACTGCCTCAGAGACGGAGTGGCTCTGATTAGAGGTTTTCTATTTGCAGTGTTGGAACAATGATTAAAACTCAGGAGACTGCGTAGCTCTTTATACAGTCTATGCTCTGAAGCTCACAGTGTGCAGAGGACTCGTTATCATTTCAAAACAGCCATAATAACTGAAATGCCACGTTTATACTCAAAGTGTACTGTGCATACCAACTAGGGCTGAACGATATTGGAAAAAAATTACATTGCGATATTTTTTTTCCAAACATTATATATTGCGATATTGAGAGCCATCAATACATTAATATATTAATATATTACATCATATTAGATTTGTCCAAAAGAAACCCTTATGTTTCTATACAAAAGTTAGCAAAAGGTAAAAATAAATTAATGAAGCAATATGTTTTTTGGAATCAAGCGCATGAGCAGTTTTAAAAGAAATATTATAAAAAGTCAATTTATATAATATAAAAAAATGACAATATATATTTAAAAAACATTATTGTTTGGAATAAACCCTGTGTATAAAAACTTTAATTACATATGAGTGGGATTGAAAAATTCACAAAACTCACAGGGGCTCTCGATGATGGTATAATCATCTTCTTCCACTATTTACAAGTGTTTTGGCACTGGAATCTAACACTTTAGTGTGCCAAAACGGGGGAAGAATGTGTGAATGCGGAATAATAATCACGGACAGAACACGGTAAAACAGTTAAATCTAACACTAATAAACCTATTACTGCTACTAAGACGATGGTTATATTATTATATACAGTATAAATATTATATTTACAGTGAAATCTCCACTAAACTGTTGCTAAAGCGATCACAGGAAATCAATCACTCATCTGTCAGTGCTCTCCTGAGCTCCAGGTGAAAGGTTTGTTTCTCTCTGTTTGGTGCCGGCAACAGCTTCAGTTTTAAAGGGTTCACTTCTGTTGCCGACCCCGAAAAAACGTACTCTTTGTACTTCCGTGTTATTACGTGTAACACAGAAAATTATAATCTATTAATGTAGTTCCCGCTCCCGTTGATTTTTATTCCCGTCCCGATCACGACATTAATAACAAAAGTTTATCCCATCCCAGGGGAATCCCACAGGAATCCCACGGGAATCACGAGACCTGCGGGAAATCCTGACAAATGTCATCCTCTATGAGGTGTCACACTGGCAAAGTGTCGCGCACTTCTTCTTTGCGCATTTTCAATATTTACCCTTGACTTATAATGGTCTTTCAAAATAAACGAGAAACGAAAATATGTTACAGACGCGTCCTTAGCAACCAGATTTTACCATAGAAACCATTTAGCCATTTCACTATCTCAACTATGGAAAAATCGGGGTTGTCTATAATACTCATATTGGCATGAGAAACTCTTCCATAGAAAGTAAAAATTCTACCATGGCAATCTTTTAACTTTGCTAATAAAAATACTTTTAAGTGGCACCTTTACAAGCCACCATCAAAGTTTATCCACTAACTTTAACCATCTAGTTAAGCATAAGTAAGCACCATTATAATCCCTGATTATTTTAATGCCATGCTGCATTCAGTGCAAGATGAGAAGAGAAATTATGAGAATAATCTGGAATATTTTTATTTGTCAATTTTCAATTTGAAGCTCCATCTTTTAATTAAATCCCTGCCGGTATATTCTATAAGCATCAACATTTGTAAGCAGTGATGGATTAGCATGCAATACCCTGATAATTTTGACTGTTAACGAGTACTTCACTGTCCCTTAAAGCACTGGCTGCCCAGTCTGGACAATCCTTCCCAGCGGTGGAAAGTGTGGGTATGAATAAGATATATCGAGACTATACTATATTGTAGTGTGTTATTAATCCCTAAGGAAAGGGATTAAAGCTGACAGCAGGTAATCCAAGGTTATTTATACACCTATGTGGGGACGAGCTCGTACTATAAGGACTCAGGAAACCCCTAGAGCTCTGAGTGCCAGTGTATCTTCTGGAAAATAGAGTTCCTGTTTAGCAATCTGAAAGGCATTATTTGCTGCTAAATGTTTCCGTAGTGCAGACACAAATGTTGCATTCGTCCAGGAGGAGGCTTCGAAATGCACTATTAAATGTACTTGTAGAACACATGTAGCTACTAGATGAGCAGCAGTGTCTTTCTGAACAGAGGCCACACCTGGACTCCATAGACACGCGCTCTTTCCTCAGGGCTGATCTCATATCAGCAGCTGTGCCTTGAGAAAATACGGCTTAGTTGTACTGTTCATCAAGCTGTACTTATCAGAAAACTGGTTTGTTACTTTTTTTATTTCAGATTTGTTGCTTGTAGGTAGGCTTCCCTCGACCGCGTAAACTTTGTGGCTCAGCGGTGCTATCAAAACACTAGCTCTGGATCGGAACAGTAGCACAGTGTGCACTCTACAGCCCCCTGAACATCAAACAGTGCTTACATTATTTATTTATGCTCATTTATTTCCACCATTGGAAATAGTCACAGCTTTAGTTGTTCAATCCAAAGTGAAACAGCTGGTTTCTAACCCCTCAGCTGATCTGAATATAGTCTTGTGTGCCGTAACAGAGAGAGAGGCGTCATACTCGGGGGAATGGCTCTGTCGCAATTGATTTGTTGCGTTTGGAGAGGGAAATCTAATGATTACAGAGGTATGAATTAATATGAGAAAAAGTCGTAGAGTAATCATACAGTTCATTTGTAATTTTTATATAAAACATTTTTTCTTCTGCTTAGCAAATGCTTTTCACTTTAAAACACACCTCTCTTTTGCCTTGGATTACAGACTGTTTAGAGATTTTCTTCTAAATGTTATTCTTTTAACAGTTTACTCTATGCACCGTGTCCTTGAATGCCCTGAAAATCATGTATAATATGTTTTTATATTATTAAAAACTGGAGATCTGATAATCAAAATACATTTCAGTGGCCTCACACATGACTTACACACTGTCTGTATTTTTCTAGACGTTTTCAGGGAGTCAGACAAACAGCAATATTAAATACTGCAGATATCTTGGGACTTGACAAAATGCTTGGATGTTTTTCATAAATACCCCAAAGAATCAACGTTTGAGGAATGACTGTTCAGGTACTGATTTTGCGGGTGTGTGTGTGTGTGTGTGTCTTTCCCTGTTGCTCCTTGTCCAGCTGTATGAATGAAGCTGTTATCCAGAGATTAGTGATTAGAGATGAACACTCCGATACTGGTGTCAGATTTAAGATCTTCTGAAATGCTGTGCTAATCCTACAACGCTAGCTTTCATCAGACTCTAGAGCCTCGCAGGTGTGTGTAAAAATAAACTGTACTTATATATTACAGAAATATTTAAAGGAGACATTAACTGTCGTCCTTCACTGATGTCCTCTAATTGGGATTTGTAATACAGCAAATATTCAGTATGAAAAGTATGTAAAAACATAAATTGTGCATAAACAACCCAAATAATTGTTTATTATAACTGTTTTTTAATCTAGAAAACTGTCAAGAAGGCCAACAAATATGTACAATTTGAATTGTTTTATGTAAACAAACAAACAAAGAACTTCACATTTAAAGCCAGTGCTTCAGACACGGCTTGCTTGATTTATTTTGTACGTCTTCACATTTAGGTGTAGGAGCAGTGAATGATGGAGCAGCGTTCTCCATTGACCAGCCTTCGCTGTATTTACAGTGTGATACACACCTCAGCATTATATCCATGAAACAATATGGGTCATTTGTCCCCTCCGTCCTACATTTCCCATGAACACTACACTACGTTTCAGGTACTTATTGGTAGCAGCGCACAGATACTGAAACCTAATCCATACGCTGCTGGAAAAAGTTTGGGAACCACTGGTGTATAGTATTCTATCTTATATGTAGAGTTAGGTTTCTAATAGTTTATATCTGTATAGTTTGTTGCGTGTATTGCACTTTCTGTGTGCTTTTCAAGCACCTAAAAATTTTGTCTAACGGAAATTCTGATTGGCCGGTGATCAAAAAGGTTGGTTTCGAATGCTGCTCCTAAACTATATTTTGCCAACACCATGGTATGTATAGTTCCAAAATATATAGTCACTCTACCAAAATATGATAATTGCTATAGTTAATAAATGCAGATATTCAGTAAATTATGTTCCTCACAATACTCCTGACTCCAACTCTAACGTAAACATTGTAATAGAAACCCAGTGGGATGCAAACGCTAAGTACCACATATTTAGAATAATTCCTGGTATGTGGTTATGTAATGTCTGCCCATGTATTCTTAAATATGCCCAGCGATTACATCATTGTGGCTTCATCCGTCAGTAAATCTGACCTCCCTCTACCTGGAGCTTTTCCCACATCCATTGAACCACCCCTCCAGCATTGTGCCCTTACTCGTCTGTTCCATGGCACTGCTTAACTCAGCAGAAGTGATTGTAGACGTGCAGTTTTTAGGATGCGCCGGATAAACCTCAACAGTCTAGAGTTTAAATGCACTAGCACATGTGCAATAAATGTGCAGAGTGTGTCTGAGTTCATGTCCATCT